GTGGATGGACATTTAGTTTGCTTATACAATTTAGCAATTACAAATTGTGCTGTTATGAACATAGGTGCACATATATCACTGGGTTATGATGTTTTGAGATATTCTGGGAAAATACCCAGCAGGGGAATAGCTGGGTTGAATGGGACCTCTAGACCTAGTTTTCTGAGGAATCTCCAAACTGATTTCCAAAGTGGTTTCACCAATCTGCACTCCAATCACCAGTGAAGGGTTCCTATTGCTCCACAACCTCACCAGCATAGTTATTGGTTGATTTCTGGATGCTAGCCATTCTTAATGGGGTAATGCGGAATCTCTGTGTTGTTTTAATTTGCATTTCTCGAAACACTAATGATGTTGAACAATTTCTCATGTGTTTATTTGCCATTTGTATCTCCTTATCTGAGAAGTATGTATGCATCTCAGCTGCCCATTTTTGGATTGGGTCTTTGAACTTGGGGGAGCTGATATTTTTAAATCTTTATATGACAAAAATTAATTCTAATCGTTGACCTGATATCTAAACTTTAACACTAAGAAGGAGGGCCTGGTTCTCAACATGCTCTCTCTGCCCTCGGAGAGGTGGCGGCACGGGAGTCTGCAAATGTATAATAGCACAGGGTACATAGAGCTGGTACATCAAAATTTGTAAGGAATAGGTACTGAAAGGACACCCAGCAGTTGGAGGTGACATGGCAGAAGCGGCTTGGGGAGGGGGTCCCCAGGAAGTGACCTCACTTCCTTGACAACGCACCAAACAGAACTTGGAACCCCAGACGCTGGCTGGCCGCAGTTACTCCTGCAGAGACTCCACGAACAGGAGGATGTGGTCACGTCGTCGCACCGATAGCCTAGGGTCGGGCCACGAGACAGGGTGGAGCGGGGCCCTCGTCCAAATGTGGACGCGCAGGGCCAGCTGCCTCCCCAGGCGGCCCGGGCATACGGAAGCGAGAACACAGAAGGTGACACGGAAGAGCCCGGGACAGGTGAGAGTGGGCCAGCCCAGCACCGATCCCCGGGTTGCCCAGCGCCCGCCTGGGAGGGGTGCGGTGAGTGCGTGCGTGGGGGTGTGAGAATCCAGGGGCTTCTGGCCACGCTGTCTCCCTTGGGTGCCGAGCTGTGCCAGCTTGGCGACGGTTTCCAAGCCCGAACTCTCCCTTCTTGCTGCCGCCTCAGGGCACCAGGGAATCCGCCCCCTGGCTGGAAGAGGCCCGCCGGGCGGGGAGCCTGGAGCCAGGCACCCTGAAGAAGCTGGTGAACCAGCTGGTGCCTGCCCATCGCCGAGGGGACCCCTTCTTCGTGCCCGCCTTCCTGTCCACCTACAGGAGGTTCGCCACCACGCGGCAGGTTCTGGATCTGCTGTTCCTCAGGTGAGCCCCACTTCCAAGCCAGGGGACCCAGCAGCTCCTCGGTGCCCCTGGGGAATGGCCTGCACCGTTGCGTGCCCAATTTTCTCTGTGGAGACAGGGGTGCTCAGAGGACACCCCTCAGATGGTGCAGCCCTAAACCAAGGAGGCTCAGCCTCCACAGCAGCTATGCGGGTCTGGCCCTGGGCAGGGGGAGTGCCCTGGGGCCGAGGGGCTTCCTTTGCCCCAGGAAGGAGCTGTTCCCTGGGGCCTCCCTTTCCCAGGTTCCTGCCCACAGGGATCCTGAGCAGGGACCTCTAGGGGCAGACGTGCACCCGGCAGCCTGAGATAGCGGGCGCCGCTGGCTGGGCTCATCCCCTGCGGAATGTGTCCAAAGCACCTACTGTGCGCGAGCACCTTTCCTGACACTTGGCTGTGCTTCAGGGAGCAGCACACACAAACCTCTCAGCCTCTCCTGCCTGCATCCCCATCCCCGGAATCAGGTCGTCCCCTAGACATCCCGGCAGGTGGGGACAGTGGGTGCTCAAAGGTCACACCCTGCTGGCCCTTCTAGGTACAGGTTCTTCCACCCCGACTCTGAGGAGGACCAGCAAAACAAGAGGTGAGAGGGCTTGGGGCTAAGAGGGAGGGCTCCTGTCTGCAGAGTGGGGATCCTCTGAGGAACTGGGCTTCTGTGGGGCTGGCAAAACCGGGGCTCCCTCACTTTTCATTGAGTCCCCCTAGAGGCTGCGGTCCGGGGCCGCACCTCCAGCAGGAGGAAGACCCAGAAGTGTGGCCCGGGTCCCGCGCATGCGCGGAGCAAGGGCGGCCGGGCTCCCAGCGGGTGCCCCTGAGGATCCATGGGCAGGCAGCCCGTCCCCAGCCAGGAGAGCCCAGGCCGCGGTGTAGGCACGCCTCACGGGAGGTGTGGGGCGCGGACAGCTCACACATGGGCCCCACGCCCCGGCCTGCGTGCCCAGCTGCCCCCGGGCAGGGCGGGCTCTGCCAGGCAGCCCTCCCTTCAGGGTCCCCGACAGGCTAGGGCGGGGAGGGGGAGAGGCCAGGCCTCTGACTCTGCTGCCCGCCTGCCCCAGCGCTCTGAGCTCCCTCCTGGAGACCTGGCTGCTCCAGTACCCAGGAGACTTTGGCCGCTGCCCAGACCTGGCCAGCCTGAAGCGGCTGGTGGCCTATGCCCTGGTCAACCTGCCAGACTCGCAGATCCTCCCGCAAGTGTGCGGCCTCCTGAGCCGACCCGGAGCCCACTAGGTGCGAAGGATCCCCAGGCCGAGGAAGCTGGCGGGGGCGCTGCCTGGGGTGGCGGCTGGAGCCAGCCTGGGCCCCGTGAGGAGGAGGCTGCAGAGGCTGCCGCCGGCCGGGGGCCGAGGAAGAGGCTGGGATCGCGGCCCGGGTGGGCCCGAGTGGGGACGCCGTGCGCTGTGGGTCGGCGGCCGGGGCTTCTCTGGCAGGAGGGGGCTGCTCGGCCTTGGAGAGACTCGGGAGGGCCGTGGCCGAGGAGTCTTTTCTCCTGCCCGTCTCCTGCCGCTCCGGGTCCAGCACTGCTCCCCAGAGGCAGGCTTGAAGGGAGACCCGCAGCGGGGGAGGGGAGCCGCCGCCCCCTTCTGTGCTGCAGGGCATCTGGAGCCGCACAGGCAGCGGCTGCCCGCACTGACCCGTGTCCCCCTCTGGCCCTCTCTCTGCCAGCTGTTTGCAGAGCTGCAGCACAGCTCAGGATACTCCAACTTACAAGAAGGGCTCCAGCGGCACAGCCCTCCCTTGCTCACCTGTAGAAGGCACCTCTCGGTTTTGTGGTTTCCCAAGCCATGTTTGGCGTGGATAGGAAATTTCAGTTCAACAGGTTTTTCTTTCCATAAGTTTCCAATTGCTATTTATTTTATTAAAATTTAATACATTGAATAAAATTGCATTGTAATCCAGTCAAAGTGTTCCTTTATGTTAAAATGCACATAGAGGGGCTGGGGATTTAGCTCAGAGGCTCAGCACCTGCCTGGCAAGGACACGGCCCTGAGTTCGATTCCCAGTACCGGAAAAAAAAAAAAAAAACCGAAGAGAAATTAAATGAATAAATAAAATGCACATCTAAGTGGTACTCAAACTTCATACCATGCCACATACCCCACCACACGGTCCTGCTGCAGTCCAGAGCCCCCGGCAGACTCCTTTTTCCCCCTACGTGGCATTTTGACAAGTTGCGTTGCTGGTTGAACCAGGCTCCGGTTGCGTTTGCTATCTTCCTGCCTCAGCCTTCCCAGGAGCTCAGCCCGGAGGTACGGACCGCCGTACCCAGCTGTCGGTGTGGCTTTACTCGGTGACGCCTCACGGCTTTCCCGTGCCCCGGATTCAGCACAGTGGGCAAGGGAGGAAACTTGGTCACGTCCTATGCGCAGCGCGTGGGAGGAGGCTGGCGGGAAGATCCAAGGAGCCTGGAGCCTGGCAGCGTCAGGCTCTGGAGAGCCCTGGGCACCATGGAAGGCTGCGAAGTTTCCCCTGCAGGATTTTGGGGAGGGGAGGAGCCAGGCAGAGAGCGTGCAGAATCCTGGGAGAAACGCCCATTCAGGAAGGAGCGCTCTTCGGACGGGTTGTAATTGTGCAGCCTGACGGCTGAGGGCCTGCCGGAAGGCTGGGATGCCGCGTGTTCGGGAGATCCTCGGGGCTACTTTGAGCGAGCGTGGTCAGGGAATGTGAGGAGCGAGCTTGCTGAGAGCCTCGACGATGCTGAGTGGCCAGGAACGTTTAGGGAGAAGGACTGGAAGCTCCTGGAAGTGTCCGCACTCAGGAGCCCTTGCGGCGGTAGGAAGAGGAAGAGGGGTGAGGGGCGCCCGCAGTGTTGTAAGGAGGTGACAGGTTACTGGGGGAGGGCGAGGCCTGGCCGCTGGTGGGTGTGAAGACAAGTCTTCCTAGGATCACTCCCACAGCACAGAGGTGGCACGGGATAGATTCCTCTCTTGAACACAGTGTGTCCAGAACCAATAGAGAAGCTCGCTGAGGAGCTCTTGAGCGAAGGCTTGGGAAGAGAAAGAGACAGATCTGCAAAGAGCATGGGGACAGAGAGAACCAGTGTGTGCCGCAGAGGGGAGGACCAAGAGCAGAGCCCACCTGCAGGGTGGAGCCACGGCCAGGAGGCTGGTGCAGCGGCGGGTACAGAGGGCCAGGAAGCTGGGCCTGGGGATGAGGTCCCAGCGGCCAAGGGCAGGCCCGTTCCAGACTCACCTGGGGATCTTAGCAGGCAGAGCGGCTCTGTGCAGATGTCCTGGGTACCCATAAAGGTTCTTTTCAGTGTCACTTCTGCCTGCACATGAAAGACTGTGGGATTCCCTTCTCCTCAAAGAAGAGAAAGGAAGAGAACAAAGTCCGTGAACAGGAGCTACGGGGTAGATTTTGATAGAAATACAATCCTACAGGGCAAGTCTGGTGCCTTCCAAGCAAAGTCTGCCTCGAGTCGCAGGACTGTACCCCACGGCACCCTCTTGGTTCCCGGTGTTCTGTCCTTGTCGTGCTATGGTAACCTCGGGGCAGACATGGTGCTGGCTGCATACACGGGATCTGGGTGCAACTATTGCTTCCATGTCTTATTTCTACATCCATGAAACACCCACTAAACTAGCATAGCACTGGAGCACAGAAGAACCTGTGAAACGCCCTGAGGACCATCCCAGAGAGACAGCCAGGCCAAATCCAGGCCCGCTTGCCTCGAACCACCCTAGCCCCTGAGGGCTCTGCTCTTGCTGCAGGCCCTGCCTGTCCTGCTCCTTTCTAGCCAGCCTGCTCTGTACCCCATGGGCCGCAAGAGCCCGAGCCCAGCCCTGCTTCTACTATGTGGCCCCCCTGGGCTGGCGTCTGCAGCACAGCACCCCTCTTTTCGGGCCCCAATTCCTTACTGCTGAGGAAGATCCCCATGTTGTTCAGCAGCACATTCGGTTCACCTCTCCTTGCCTTTTGAGCACCTCTTCCCCTGGGAAGCGCAGCCAGAGATCGAGGGTGATGGTGGAGCCGACGCCCTTGTTGGCCCTGGTCCCGGGCGCCACGCGGGTGCAGGACGACATGGCTGAGGAGCCCCGCGCCAGGCTCCTTGATGGAGCGCTTATTGGCCCAGAGCCCTATGTCTGGAGGTCTCCGGGCGAGGATGCCTGGGACTCCAGCAGGGTCCTGACTTCATTGCTCCAACTCGGGTCTCGCCCCCGAGGGCGTGGCTCCGGGGCATCCTCGTGGCTGCAGAAAGACAACCTGTCACTCCTCTGTCAGATGTTCCCAGTCCAGGCAAGCAGCTCCTCGGGCAACCTCAGGAATGGGGCCCTGCGTTTTCTCACCGGGTGCTCTGCTTTTCTCAATGAGGAGGGAGACAATTCAGGCGGTTGTCTCACAGGACTCTCCTCCCTCAGAGAGGCGACGCTGGGTCCCAACACTGAGAACCCACAACTGGGCTTCGAGACAAGCTTCCCAGCATCCACCATCCTGACATGCACAGGATGTGTTCTCTTCCAAGGCTAAGACAAGATTAGCTGCTACGAAGACTGACGGCCCTTGTTTCACTTCTGTATCTCTACTTGCTGGACAGCACAGATTGTATGAAGGGCAACCTCTGCCTGGTTCAGGTCCCAGTGGAATTCTGAGCATTCTAATGGCTGGGACGGCTCACCATTAAAGCCCTCTTGATCTCTCCAGTTTCTTTTGGAAATTCCGCAACAATATCAGACATGTGTGTTGTGTATTCCCTGCCATGAAGACACAGAGTATTCCCACTGGCATAAGGATCCCTCTTTTCCTCTGCTATAGCCAAACCCCAAACCTGTTCTCACACAATCAGGCGTCTCACCATTCCTGCATTTTGTTACTTCCCAAGTGGTACCCAGATGAAGTTACATAGCACATAACCTTTCCTATTTGTTGTCTTTTTTTCCCCAACTAGAATAACTGATTTGTTTTGGATTTTGCCCCTTATCACAGCGTATGCTTGGTCATTTCACCGGCTGGCCTCTCTGCACATGAGCCCTTTCTTCTGCAGCTGGGGCGAGCCGGCGTTAGAAGGATGTGGGCTGGATTAGAGTCAGTAGGAGACTGTGATAGCTCAGGGTGTGCAGGAAACTTTGAACGTGGTTGGGGTCCTGCTATATGATGAGGCAAAATCTAAACAAGACTCATGATTTTCAAACTGGGTTTGTTGTTGTTTGTTTGTTTGTTGGAAATTGAAGCGAGAGCCTCAGATGAGCATGCTGCCACTGAGCCTCATCCCCAGCCCTTTATTCATTTTGTTTGAAACCAGATCTTGGTAAACTGTCCAGTATGGATTTGAACTTGCCGTATGCTGCCCCAGCCTCTGAAGTAGCCAGGATTACTTCTCCGTCACTCCTGGCACAAACTGGTGTTTTGTCTGATAGGACTGGTACTCAAACAAGGATCAGCTTCAGTAAAAGTTAGTGGTACAGAACCAATGTTGTTTTGCCAGCTGCACATTATAGCAACCATCATGAAGTTAGCAAGAGAATTTATTCGTATGGTGGAGCAGGAGATCCAAGCCACAAATCTACCTGCCTGAGGATGAGGCTTGGGATATTTATGGGGTAAGAAAGCAGGGTGGTCGCAGACAAGGCGAAAAGTGACTGGAGGTGAAGCAACCAGTGGTCTGAGCTTGTGTAATAAAATTTTATGGCTCTTTGGGAGATGTAGATTCAGAAAATGGCATGACTATCATGATCTGAGGTCATGTCAAAAGGTCACAAAAGGCCCCAAAAAAGAGTCAGTGCTTTTGACACGGGAGGTGACAAATGGTGGCATATTCCTATAACCCCTGCATTCAGAAGTTGGAGCCCATCCTGGGCATTTGAATGAGATAGTGAGTCCGTGTCTGAATATAAAAAAAATAAAACAAAAAGGCTGGAGGTGCAGCTCAGTGCAAAGGTCCTGGGTTCAAACCCCAGTACTACTGAGAGTGTGGGGCTTCAGACCAGGAAAAGTACCCTGCATCACAACTCACACATCAGAGTCATTCATCTGCAGCCAAACTAGCAAAGAACTATTAACATTGCTCTCCTATGTAACCTCCAAAGTTAGTGATTTTTAAAGTCAGCTAAAGCTGAGGCTGAGGCAGGAGGATGGGGAATTCAGGCCAGGGTAGACAATATCCTGAGACCTCATCCTTTTTCTTCTTTTTTTATTAAATAAAATAAGCTCAACTAAAAGCATTGACAACATGAACCCCCTCATCGCAAATGTAAATAAATAGATAAAAATAAAGTTATCTAAAATGGAGTAACTAAAAGCCAGTTGGGGAGAAGTTTTATGTAGGTTTTCCTTCAGTTTCATTAGAACTTGAAAATGTTAGCATTTAATAGGAGATAGAGTATTAATCACTTTTCTGTAACTGTGACAACATATGTGAAAATAATTTAATGAAGGAACTGCTTACTTTGGCCCAACGGTTGAGAAATCTCAACTCATGGTCAGCTGATGCTTTTATTTTCGAGTGCTCAGGTGAGGTAGAAACATGCAGGGGAGGGTGGTGGAGGAGAACTGCTTACCTCATGGCAGCCAGAAAGTAGAGAGAGAGAGAAAGAGAGAGAGAGAGAGCAAAAAAGAAGGAAGGGTCAGGGAGGAGACACAATCCCCAATGCACAGCCCCCAAGGACACACTGCCTTCAAGTAGGCCATGTCCTCGGGTGTGGTCACCTCCCATCAAAGAATGGACCCGTCAAGGGGTAACACAGCCAGAGGTCAGGGTTGTCCCGATCCATCCACTTCCCAAAGCTCTACCTCTGAACACATTTGCACCGAGCA